AGAGAAAAAAGATTTTTTAGCCCAGAGAATATCTTCCGTCAGAGTGGTTGTTGATTCATAGATTCTAATAACCCCTTTTGAAGTTTATATGAAAGCTTTGATATCTGCTATGCAGATCTAGTTATTGTTATTTTTTTTTTGTGTTTTGTCCACAAATCGGATTTCTCAGAATCTAACCATAGGATCGTTCTGAAACTTTTACCTATCCCCCAAAAAATGGGTGGTGGCTGTTGATTAAATATATTTTCAAAACGTTTTACGAATCCGAAATCACCGAATTTTACGATGGAATGCATTTGACCTACAATGCTGTAACTTTGTGACTATTTGACCTATTTTACTAATTCTTTTTTCTTTGAGTATCTTGAAACATTTACTTCAAATCTGCAATTTCGGATTTTGGCATTTCGAAAATTCGTTGCTGTCATTTCGAACCAGAAGTTATTACCAATTTGACAACTTCTTTAATAGTTGTGCGATTTTCGTGAAATTTAGAATGTTAGTAGATCTTGCCAATGCGACTTCAATGATGTCCTTGAAAATTTTCTAAATTATCTCCCCTTGGTGAAATTAAGGATCAAAGTTTTCAAAAAAATCGTCGAAATATAGGTCAGAATGACCTAAAAAAAAAATTCGATACTAGACAAGTAATTACTGATTCGTACACAAAATATGGAGTTTGTCGATCGAACCGGAAGTGCCACCATCTTTAAACGTGAAAAATCAAAAAGGCTCTTTTGCTATTTTACTTACAGACTCGGGCGTCATATTTTCGGAATCCTGGAAGGAATTCCTAAAAATCTATCGGATCAGAATTTTGATTTCGGTCACGTGATGGTCACCATTTTGAATTGAAAATGAAAAATAGAAGCAATTTGAAGGGCCGGGACTTTGGAACACAAGAACTCTCCTTCTAATTAAGCTAGAATGTTCAAACTTGGTGTAGGCGTTCACTAGGTCAATGTCATGATTGAGTTCAAAGATGAGCATTTTTTGCCTAGGGTAAGCAGAGATAAGCAAGCTGATTTGTTGATTCTTTAGGGCACGATGACATTGGTTATAATGAATGGAGGGCGATGAAACTCTTGTCAATCGAGAGGCTAATAGCTGGCCTGTTGTGTGAAATCATTGTATCATTTTTTGAAAATGTCCGGGGTAGCCGCAAAAAGGAGATCGAAATCCAAAAAGTCGTATTTTTACGATTTGGGGCATTTTTAGAGGTCGTGTAAAGTAAAATAAAGCATGCATATACATATATTATTGATATTAAATATATCATATAAAAAACTAAACAATGAATCAGCTGTCATTGACAGATTTTATATTATAAGCATGGTCAGTGGAAGGTCAGCGTATTGTCTAACTTGAACTCACTGACTCCGTAACATTATTGTGGGTATGGTATAAGCTGAATTTGATGAGATGCACATATCTCGTATGACTATTTGGTACTTACAGTGTTAGACTTTGTCGTAACGTTACGGTCTCCATTCATCAAATCGTCGTTGGGGCTATAATACGATTTTGAATCAAGTTATTTATCACTGAGGGACTCAAAATTAGGTTTGATGTAGCTCTGCTCATTTACAGTGGCGAATTTAACGGGCTCATGGGTTCCAGCTCTCTCCTCTAGAAATTTCACAGCACCCGCATGGATTGTGGCTAATTTTGTGGCAGAATTTTATTTTTCTGGGGGAGGTACTTCTAAATGGCTCCGACACAAGTGCCTGAAATGCCATGAAATCACGTTTTCGGCCTCCAATTAAAATTTCTTAGCGGGAGAACCCCCTGACCCGACCCCCTTGCGGGGCTTCACGGTCGGTATCAGCCCCCCTCCCCACCACCATGGTTAATCCGGCGTTGATGTTCCCTCTTGTGCAGCTGCAAAAGAATGTACAAGTTCATTGCCTCATTGTCAAAGATCCCACTTTTCTACCCCAGTTCGGGTAATGAGGTCGAGCGTATATTGTATAGGGGATATTAAACAAGCAAACAGTATGGCTGATGTCTCCCGCCAAAACCCCAAAGTAAAAGATGACACATTAATTAATCGCACTTTCATATTTTTTTCAAAAGTATCGAGCAATCAAACTATACTGTAAATTTCATCACTCTCTGTCAGATAGAAATCAAGGTTATCTTGTCCCAAAGCATCGACCAATGAAATTGCCAAGCTGTAGCTCAAAATGTTCAGTCAAGACCTGATGAACATCTACACCAAGTTTAAACATTCTAGCTCAATTAAAAGCTGGGTTGTTATGTTCCAGTACTTCATTATAACCAAAGTTATCATACCCCAAAGCATCAACCAATTCAAAGTCCCGGCCAATCAAGTTGCTTTGCTTATCCTGACTAAGAGAATGCTCATTGTCGAACTTGGTCAAGGTAATATGGTCAAGGTACTAATGTAATGAAACTATACACAAAGTTTCATCAAATTGCTTATCTCTGCTTACCCATTTTAATAGTCCCCTGCCAATCGAAAAGCCCCCCGACCCACCCACTCCACTCCCGTGTAATACATTAGGTTATAATTGTGTTACAAACGTATCACAAGGAGCATTTGAATATTCTCTCTGAGGCATCTGATACCACTTGTCATTGAGGTGTTCACACAGCCAACTCATTTTTGTTTGTTTGTGTTATCTTTATTCAGTATAAATCAACTAATACAAATGAAAAAAAGTACTTGGTTTAATGAGATTATCTTTTGAGAGTTGGTCATACAGGTATCACTAATCATAATTGCTCTTAACTTCAAATATATACACGATTAGGTGTATTCTAAATATCAAATAAAACAATGATGATTTCTTTACAATAGCAGTACAACAAATTTATTTTGATCAGTTGATCAAAAACCTGATTATATTTACAATATATTCTAGGTCTTTGCTCTTTATTCTATTGGTTCAAAATATGATAAAAGAGGCTTATCAAAAAGTTTATATCATGTAGTCTTATATAACAAATAGAACAATGACATACAAGATGTTTCAAATCATAATCTATTTGCATTATTTATTTCAATAATTTGACCTGTGATATTCATGTATAAAGCAAAATAGTAAACATTGAATTTCATTCACTTTTATGTATAATATAGTATTAAACCGGTTAATTATTGTATACAACATTTATTTAATTTCATAGCAACATTTTATACTATTGTATTCATTGTAGTTTTTTGTCATTATTAGCCCAGTCCGTGCATAGCATTATGATGTGAAATCCTATTTCATTTCAATTATAATAGTCTTCATCTAGAAACAATATTACTATTTATATTGGTATGTTACTACCAAGATATAACAATAAAATTAGCAAAAGTATGTATAAATTAATAAAGTTCTCTTTAGTATCTTTCATGAATAGTCAATTGTTCAATACCATTATTTCTCTTCACCTCATGCAAATAAATTGAAATGGGATTTAATGTTCAACTGTTTTACTTCACAACTTACATAAATCATTTGGTGATAAAGAAACATACATTTCTAGTATTTTTTTAACATAGTGTACTATACTATGCATCATTATATAGAAGACATATGAATGAATAAACAAAAATATGGCAAAATGAACAACATGAGAATGATTGTAGAAGTATAAGAACAAAGCAATTGTTTAATATTAAAAATATTTGATTTTCTTCTATTTTAAAGTTACATCCTTTACATTTGTATTTATACATTGTATGCAAAACATAATTAGAGAGAAATGGGTTTAACGTCCACTCAACACAAACAAGGTCATTTCGGGACTAACATATGGTTTAATTTTATTTCAATAATTTGCTTGCGCGTAGGGGTCTTTAGCAGTGGGGGGAAACCAGAGTACATATATTTATTTTATGAATAACAGTAAATGACAATTAGATACCTTATTTTTATATATGTCCTTAAATGTTATATATTTATTGTTTATATGTATTTTATATTTATTATATGAATCACAGTTAGTGATAAAACAATTTCCTCTTTTCTGATTGTATTGCAATCTTGTTATAAATAATATTATATCACACAATACGTTACATTTTATTATACTCTCAAAGGCTAGCTACCCTGTATATCACATATTCAATCCCAGCATTGTCAACAGAGTTCATCAGCAAACCCTGACAAAAAAGTCTAGTATGGTCCGATCTACCAAGGACCCTTCTATAAATTGTAATGCACGTAAAACATCCCTTGCCAATAAAACAGCAATATATTAGTGACCTAAATGCCACTAGGCCGGCAGCCAAAATTTCTACCGTGCAACTCCGCTACACAGTCCACCATAAAATAATCTGCGACCATTATAAAGTAGACGATGATGTTTTAAAGAAAATTTACTAGTGTTCCAAGCTTCGGCCGCGCAATTTGTGTGTGAAATAGCTTTATTTAACGTCCGCTTCCACCGAGGTGATATCGCAGACAATAACATGTTATTTGTGTATGGTGAGAATATTTACAAAGTGATTAATGGAAAATAGATAATTGAATATATATATGTACAGAAACATTGACTAACTGGTGCAAAGTAAAAAAAAGTGCTATTTGAGACGATCACAGACATAGACAGACGAGCACAGTGCAAGACATACATAAACATGGACGAACATATGGACAAAATGGACAATTACGAACAGACAGGAACATTTAAATACAGAGACATGATATGTACATATATATATATTTTGGTCATTTTGTCGGTCTGGTCGTTCTGTCCGGTAGAATGGCAGGGCGGTGCTACTCTTCCTTGGGGCTTGTCGGTGAGTGATAGGCCTGATCCATTCTTCCTTCCATTTGGTTTTTGTTGTCCGGTATGGTGGTTCTGTTTCATCTTCATTTTTTGTGTTCATTCCTTTTGTTTGTTGGTTCTCTGAAGGAAGAATCCAGCACCTGAAAAGAAAGAAAGAAAAAAAGAGTATCTGGTCTTACAGCTAATCTGGGATTATTTCATCTGAGATAAGGAACAGTGGAGGGGGGGGGAATGGTGGCAAAAAAAAATAACTTAAATAGAATGAAAGATATAATTAAAATAAATTGGATAGAGTCAGGTAAGAATAGTAGTAGGCATAAGGTTCAAATAAAGCATAGTATATTTATAAATACATTTTATAATTCTTTATTTCAAATCCATTAAGGGTGATATAAATTTATTCGTACGGGATTTATTTGACTCGCGCTGTTATAAAGCGTAGGGAAATAACTGGTGATTGGTCACCATGGGCCAATCAGGAGCTCGTATTGTGAACTGCTGACCCGACCTTGAAAGTTGTAAACAACAACACACATGTGTAATGGCTGCGCCCATGAAAGAACGTGAATCGACTGATATTTCATCAAATTTACGCTGTATTATTCATTACCAAGGATTTAGAAAGGAACGAGAACAATTATTTACAAAATCTCGCTGGGATAAATTCCGTGAATGTGCCCATGAATGGCTAAAACTTGATGGGCGAGCGAAATGGATAGCTGAACAGGCGACTTCGGGTGATATAATCAAACAAGGAATTTATCGACGGCGACGCGTCAAAAGATACTGGATTTCACCCAACATGCTACAGGCCTTTTACAGACAAATTCCGAATTGGGTCTGCCCGTAATCGTATAGATAAAGAAAAATTAAAATCCCCGGCTACAATCCAACCAGGGAATAGCGGGAGTGTAGACGATCTGGGACCTAGCTCTCCAAACAAATTACGCTCCTGAAGCAAAAAGAAAGAGTAAATCGGTGCTGCCTGTTGTGTGTATTATATGTAAACAACGTGACGGATTTGTCACTGTTGGAGAAAATAGGAAGAAGGATGTATTAACACAGACTCAGACCCAAACAGGCTCAGGTAGGCCTAATGTTAATATTATGTTACTTACTAAATTTATAATTATTACTAATAAATATTAAATATATTCATCCTACAGTTTTTAATTATTGTGTTGTTGTTTTTGTTGTAAATGGAATCAGAAGTGCTACTGCAATCACTGTAAAATTGTTATGAAGCTAGCCAGTAAAGCCCTTTACCCCATTTGTTGATTTGGCACAGTCATTGGTTAAAGTGTTGCACATTTGCTTGCACAAGGGATGAAACATAGAGAAGTTAACTTGTTTTTTATTTTCTTGGCCCACTTGTAGGTGCCTTGCTAAGACGATCTGTCTCTAGACCATTTCCGCTCACACAAAGGATCTGAACTAAACCGCATGCCAGAGTTGACCAGCCAGGTACATGTACATGTAGGCCTCAAAGTGACATTCCCTCCCCCACCCTTGAGCACAAACAACATTCAACGCTATATGCCTATATGGTGTATAATTTGTTTGCAAATTTGTTTGTAGGCCAACTGTTGAAAGCTGCTGAATTGAAAGAGGATGAAGATATTTTAAGGCATATCAGAGGGCAAGATTGTGTGGCCATTGAGGTCAGATATCACCAAAAATGTTATAGGCAATATACATGTACTGAATTTCTTAGACAGTTATCAGAAAGGTAAATATTTGTGATGTTTTTTTTATTTGTATTCTCCGCCTTCTTGCCACTGGTATTATTCAAATAAAACTGAACCATGGGTGAGTCCTGAAATTACTATGTTTTTGTCCAGTGGACGTTAAACCGCAATTCTCCTCTCTATCTCTCCTTGTACTGCTAATGCCTTCCTGTCTTCATTAGCTGGTTTCTGCATGAAAATAATATGTTAACCCTTGTGTAAGTGTATTTTTCCTCTGTTGTACGAAATTAATGAGAGTAAACCAAGCTCCAGAATTTTGTTTTAATTGTGTACATGTATATGTTTATTTATATTTTTCAGCAAAGATGACTAGCCCTCCGTCGAATATTAAACCACATACAATATATTCTGTGAAGATGTCATAAGAGAAAGAATCATAAATGGCCAGCAAAGTTGTCTTGTACAGAGAGAGAGAGAGAGAAATGGGGTTTAACGTCCACTCAACACGAACTAGGTCAGTTTGGGACTAACATACGGTTTCAATTTTATTTCAATAATTCGCTTGCCCGTATGGGTCTTTAGCAGTGAGAGGAAACCGGAGTGCCCGGAGGAAACCCACGAGGTTGAGAAGACGCCTCTATCTCCATGCCACATACGCTCACACCTGGGATCAAAGCCACAGCCACAAGCCAGAGGTGACCGACCAGCTAGAGGTCGAAGCGCGGCACTCTAGGCCATCCCAACCCCCCTTTCTTGTACAGACCTGTGCATGTGTAGTCAATGTGAAAATGAAAAAAAAAACTGTTAAAGAGACCGAATTTGATGTTAATACATTTAGTGACAGTGATGATGATAATGAAGATTAACTTTGATGACATTTGATGTGCAGAGTAACTGTTTAATTTTGATTTTCAATGATTGTTTCACTTTAATAAATAATTTCACAACTGTTCATCCTGTTTTCTAACCTTTCCCTTCATTCCAGCCCAGATACACAATTATTTTTTTTAACTTATATCTACATGTATGTTTGTAATTTGACCATTAATCATATCCGAAATAGTAGTTCACAGCTACATGTACAGTTGTAAAAATACTGTAGTGGCTAATTGAAAGGGAACATGTATGTGGGTTTAGAATGTTTATCTTAGTGGAAAAAAATCATGTGGTTCAATGCTTATAAAGTGCTACTGATCTCCATTATTTCAAAAGCATATCACTCAACTACTGTCAAACATATCCCCTGGCTAGAATATGCTACAAATCGACTCTAGCATGTTCCATACAAGCGATAATTTCTGAGCAAACATCCAACAACCAACCCTAACAGGCCCTTGAGATCCAACAAACAAAATAATTATTGGGCTTGTTTGCCCACACCTGGTCTTATGATTCATACAAGACCTGATAGTCTATCAATTACAGGCATTTGACAGAAAGGGAGATAATTCTTTTTTACCGTTAATGGATTTCCACAATTCTTTATTCACCCATGACATTTGTGTTTTGAGCATTTTTATTTACATCAAAATCTGTCCAATAAACTGTTCATTGCCAAGGATGAAGGCATGAGGTGTTTTACCAACTATTTAATTTTATGTCAACTTCAGAATTGTTAGTACACAAATAGCATTTATTTGACAATTTTGACGAATTTCATCTGGCCCTAAATCAATAAATTGCAAACATTTTGCTTGGAACTCCCAGATTTTGTCTTCCTGGCATCATAAGCTTTCCAAAAATGTATAGTTTTTCTTTTATGGAAGACCGTGTAGCGGAGTTGTGTTTCTAAGCTAGCTAGAAATTTTGGCTGCAGGCCTACACCTCCCAAGCTAAATTTCCCTCATGTCATCCTGTATAGCAAAGGCATATGACTGTCTTAATTAACCCAGTACTAAACACAATTTACTTGTTTCATTTTTCCAGCATTTTTCAGGATAGCTGATGGGATGCGGGTCAAGTTATGCCACTTGTCTATTTAATTATTTACCAGTTAAAAATCGAATTAACTTCACCAAATTTTTACTCATTATAATGATTTTTTTTTTCTGTTCATATTATTTCTATGACATGTGACAGTGACTGTGAATATGAAAGCTTTAATATCTGCTTAGCAGATCTAGTTATTGTTATTTTTTTTTTGTGTTTTGTCCACAAATCGGATTTCTCAGAATCTAACCATAGGATCGTTCTGAAACTTTTACCTATCCCCCCAAAAATGGGTGGTGGCTGTTGATTAAATATATTTTCAAAACGTTTTACGAATCCGAAATCACCGAATTTTACGAAGGAATGCATTTGACCTACAATGCTGTAACTCTGTGACTATTTGACCTATTTTACTAATTCTTTTTTCTTTGAGTATCTTGAAACATTTACTTCAAATCTGCAATTTCGGATTTTGGCATTTCGAAAATTCGTCGCTGTCATTTCGAACCGGAAGTTATTACCAATTTGACAACTTCTTTAATAGTTGTGCGATTTTCGTGAAATTTAGAATGTTAGTAGATCTTGCCAATGCGACTTCAATGATGTCCTTGGAAATTTTCTAAATTATCTCCCCTTGGTGAAATTAAGGATCAAAGTTTTCAAAAAAATCGTCGAAATATAGGTCAGAATGACCTAAAAAAAAAATTCGATACTAGACAAGTAATTACTGATTCGTACACAAAATATGGAGTTTGTCGATCGAACCGGAAGTGCCACCATCTTTAAACGTGAAAAATCAAAAAGGCTTTTTTGCTATTTTACTTACAGACTCGGTCGTCATATTTTTGGAATCCTGGAAGGAATACCTAAAGATCTATCGGATCAGAATTTTGATTTCGGTCACGTGATGGTCACCATTTTGAATTGAAAATGAAAAATAGAAGCAATTTGAAGGGCCGGGACTTTGGAACACAAGAACTCTCCTTCTAATTAAGCTAGAATGTTCAAACTTGGTGTAGGCGTTCACTAGGCCAATGTCATGATTGAGTTCAAAGATGAGCATTTTTTGCCTAGGGTAAGCAGAGATAAGCAAGCTGATTTGTTGATTCTTTAGGGCACGATGACATTGGTTATAATGAATGGAGGGCGATGAAACTCTTGTCAATCGAGAGGTTAATAGCTGGCCTGTTGTGTGAAATCATTGTATCATTTTTTATTCGAATTTCTCCTTTGATGTTTTCCGTGCCGACAAGGTTGTTTTCGAGTTTAGCTGGATTTGACTTCGCGCATGCGCTACGCTGGAACCAAAAGTACCATGAGTACTAAATTCCGGCGAGCAACTTTTCACGTTGGTACCTAGGTACCCTGAAAATTTCAAGGTGATACCTGCATTCGTTCAAGTCGTTTGTTCTTGTCACCTGCCTTTCGTCGTTTTTTTTCTAAGTCAATTTACGGCTTCCATGAGGGGAAAAAAGTGGAATTTCGCCGTGACACCGGCACCGATTGTCCGAAAACCATGAAATTTGGACACAATACGTCCATTACCACCCCGGACTCTGTGCCTTACCCCCATTTTGATCCCATTAAAAAAAAAGAGTTTTAGCAAAAAAACGATTTTCGGAATTTAATATTGGTTTTAACCCTGTACCCAGACAAGATATAGATATTATTATAATCCCTATGAAATATTTTAATTATTTACTGCTATAATATGAATTATCACTTATTCCCCGTTAAATAAATATCGGTCACCGGGTGCAGCTGTACAACTTCAAGGACCCTGGCTTCAAGTCAATTTACGGCTTCCATGAGGGGAAAAAAGTGGAATTTCGCCGTGACACCGGCACCGATTGTCCGAAAACCATGAAATTTGGACACAATACGCCCATTACCACCCCGGACTCTGTGCCTTACTCCCATTTTGATCCGATTAAAAAAAAAAAAGTTTTAGCAAAAAAACGATTTTCGGAATTTAATATTGGTTTTAATTAATTTTGAAATTGCAAATGCAAAGAGATTTTATCGCCTCTTCCGTATGTGATAGGTACTGGTACTATACACATTATCCTTAAAAGACAATTTTTTAAAATGACCGTAACGATGTATCGACACTAGAAACCGAAATCGCCTATTTTGACCTTTTTTGACTGCTGAGGCATCATTCCGGTGGTCCAAATCTCTGGAATTTCTAGCGGTTGGCTGCGCCGCGATGATATTTATCACATACTAAATTGAGAAAAATCCTCAGATATCAAGAACAATAAAAATTCGATAAAATACGGCAATTTTTTAAGCAAAAAACCTTTGATTGTTGGGGGCGGGTTTTGAATTTATTTTGAACGTTCTCGGAATCCAACACTCTTCTATTTTTAATATGTGATAGCTAGAATCCCAAGGTACATTCTGTGCATATTTGAAGGCAATCGGAGCACAGGAACGTTGCCTGGGCAGAGCAAATCAAAGGCTTCTTCGTCTTATGACCTTAAACACTGCGTATAAATTTAAAGTCAATCGGATATTAACAGCAAAAGGGGGGCGACGACAATATACGACCACATTTCAATGTGGGCCTATAAAAAGTAAATCATTGCCAATAGAAAAGACCCACCTTTCCCCCAACAACAACCATGTAATGCACTAGCTATAATGGGGATTTTTCTGGAACACAGCGAAATGGGTCTTTTAAAATGTTCACAATTGTATCACAAGGAGGGTTTGCTTCTTCTCTATGGGACACCCGATACCACTTCTCAACGAGGAATTCAGTCACACAGCCAACACCATTTTGTATGTTTGTGTAATCTTTATTCAGTATAAATCAAGTAATACAAATAAAAAAAATACTTGGATTGATGAAAACATAATTTTTGAGAGTTATTCATACATGTAGCATAATTGTTCTTATTTAAAAAATGTACATGATTACATGTTTGTCATAAACAACATTAAATAAACAATCATGTTTCTTCACGATAACAGTAACAGTATAACAATTGTATGAAATATATTTTCCTTTATTTTTTTTTATTTTTAGAAAGGCCACTTCCTTGGTTTAAAATATATCATAAATTGTAGTTATCTAACATATACTTCCATGTATGTTTATCTAACAGATTACCACGTCGCCTTATCTAACAGAGAGTAAATGGTATACAATATCAAATTATAATCTACCAGCATTACTTGTTTCAGTAATTTAATCGTGTGTTATTCTTGTATTTAAGTGAGAAGAGTGAATAAACTATCATGGGTTGAAACAAATATATTGGAGTAGAAATAAACATTGTATATTGGTTTGCAAATAAATAATTGGTACAGATAATGCAATGTCATACAACATACTTTTTGGATTCGGTACAAATACAACCTTTTTATCATCAATGAAAATAATGTGATTTCAAAGTAACGATGAATAAAAAAACATTGCTTATATAAAGTACATGTAATTGGGTTCATTTAATTCACTTTGTATCTATAATATACATGTAGTATTAAACAATAAATATATTGATTAATGCCAATTCTATACAAATCTCATAGTTGTATTCATGTTTTCTTTACCATAACAAGAAACAGTACAACAGATTTAGTAACAATATATTCCTTTCTACATCCGTCAGAGTGGTTGATGATTCATAGATTCTAATAACCCCTTTTGAAGTTTATATGAAAGCTTTGATATCTGCTATGCAGATCTAGTTATTGTTATTTTTTTTTTGTGTTTTGTCCACAAATCGGATTTCTCAGAATCTAACCATAGGATCGTTCTGAAACTTTTACCTATCCCCCCAGAAATGGGTGGTGGCTGTTGATTAAATATATTTTCAAAACGTTTTACGAATCCGAAATCACCGAATTTTACAAAGGAATGCATTTGACCTACAATGCTGTAACTCTGTGACTATTTGACCTATTTTACTAATTCTTTTTTCTTTGAGTATCTTGAAACATTTACTTCAAATCTGCAATTTCGGATTTTGGCATTTCGAAAATTCGTCGCTGTCATTTCGAACCGGAAGTTATTACCAATTTGACAACTTCTTTAATAGTTGTGCGATTTTCGTGAAATTTAGAATGTTAGTAGATCTTGCCAATGCGACTT